ACCCAGGCTGGAGTGCAATGGCGCGATCTCAGCTCACCGCAACCTCTGCCTCCTGGGTTCAGGCAATTCTCCTGCCTCAGCCTCCTGAGTAGCTGGGATTACAGGCACATGCCACCATGCCCAGCTAATTTTTTGTATTTTTAGTAGAGACGGGGTTTCACCATGTTGACCAGGAAGGTCCCGATCTCTTGACCTCGTGATCCACCCGCCTCGGCCTCCCAAAGTGCTGGGATTACAGGATTGAGCCACCGCGCCCGGCCTAATTTTTGTATTTTTATTAGAGACGACGTTTCACCATGCTGTCCAGGCTGGTCTTGAACTTCTGACCTCAGATGATCCACCCATCTCAGCCTCCCAATTGGCTAGGATTACAGGCATGAGCCACTGTGCCTGGCCATTCCTAACCTTTTAAAACTACTTTTAATACTGTGTTCTAGCTTGTCTATTTTTTTCCTATTTCTTTTTTTTAAATAAATTATATTTATTTTTTGGTAATACAGCATTGTTATAATTAAGATTTACATCACATAACATAAAATTAATTATTTTACACTCAGGCTAGACTATAACTATGGAATCATAGCTCACTGCAGCCTTAACCTCTTAGGTTCCAGCATTCTTTCTGCCTCAGCGTCCCTAGTAGCTAGGACTTACAGGTGTGAGCCACCATACCCAGTTATAAGGGTATTAATCCCATTTTTTTTTTTTTGGAGAAAATATTTATTTGCCCATTTAACAAAATGTAATGAGTCTGAACCCTTTAGACTAAATTAGAAAGTATTTACTGTTGATTATGTTAGATTGGTAATTTGTTAGAAATACATGGCCAATAATGTGTGAAAAGATGGCCAACCTCACTTAAGCAAAGATGATGTAAGTTCTTCAAATCACTATTTTCATCTATAAGTTTTTCAAAACCTAAAAGGTAGGTGAAAAAGTGTGAAAGTTTTGAGGAACGAGTTCTATCCAGTGCTGTTGATAGAAGCATAAATTAATGAAGACAATTAACACGATTTGGCTGTGTGGTTTTCTGTTTTGTTTTTTTTTTTCTTGAGATGGAGTCTCTGTAGCTCAGGCTGGAGTGCAGTGGCGCAGTTTCGGCTCACTGCACCCTCCACCTCCCTGGCTCAAGCAATTCCCCTCTCTCAGCCTCCCTAGT